GAAGCCTTCACATTGTGAGTTGATTTACCCGCAGCTCGGCAGACTGGCTGCCACTGGAGATTTCTTTTCTTATTCTCATTTTCCCTTTTTTTGGGGGGGAGGGGAATGGTGCGGAAGTGGGGGGGACCATACCTCGATTTCGCGTCTCTAATGCTGGAATGCGCAGGGGCCATGGCTTTTTTTTTCCCCTACCGTACTGGGGCCATCACCCATCGGCTATGCTGGAAAACGGGTCCAGCGTCCCTTTTTGTAATGCGAAGTAGGGCCTCGCTCGGCTATTCAACATTCTACACGCATTTGGACGCCTTCGTGGACCACGTGCATCAAAAGGACTCCAACATTTAAATGCATGGGGACCATCATGAGCTCCAGATTACATGTAGAGAGTTGTCTAGTGAGCGAGGCCCTTAATCCTCTCCACTGTATCGGTCCAAACGAATGTCCCAGGGCGAGGTGCGGCTAGCAAAGTTGGACAGGATTAGAGCCTGAATCTGGATGGGTTTTAAGCAGAGATTCGGAAAAGCAGAGCAATAGCCATTTTCTGCATCTCTCCACGAAGCACGTCCAGATTGAAGCGTGCAATCCAATGCTCATTGCTAATGGGACGTTGGCCCCAAAGCACTCGATGCGGATTGCCGTGAGCTTGCTCAAGCGAATCAGAGGCGTAGAAATGAGGATTGGATTCCATGCCTGAATCTGGACGTGCTTGCAGACAGGTGCGCAAATTGCAACTGACCTGCTTTTCTGCATCTCTGCTTAAAAGCCATCCAGATTCAGGCGCTTCATCCAATCCTCTTTGCTAGTCAGACCTCGCCCTAGATGACTCGGGAACCGAAATGGAGATAGACAGAAGGATCTATCTATAAAAAAAAAAGAGAGAGAGAGAGAGAGAGAGAGAGAGGTTATGTAATAACTTTGTATTCAGTCGCCCCATGGGGAACCGTTCATTACAGCTGTATTCGGGGCAACTTCCAGACAAGAGGCACTGATAATGACCGGGCGTTTATTCGGGTGAACACGGTAGGTATCCTTCACCCTGAAAGACAGAGCGACCCTTTGCTGGGCAACTGGTCAGAGTCAAGCGACCCGGAAAGTCAAGCCTTCACCTGAATACAATGCCCGGTAATTAGCACGGTATCTAGACTGAAAGTTGCCCCAGATACAGCAGCAATGACCGCACATTCTATTCGGGTGAAGATGGCAGCTTTTTCCAACCTTGGATTCCGCTGGCCCAAGCCTTGCCGGGCAAGGACTGGGGACTCCTGGACCCAGAAGCGGTCCGGCAGTCATAACCGATCCACCACATGGTCACATATCTCTGTCAACTTCAGCACATCGCCACGGCGCCCATTCTAAAGTCCTGCAGCCGTGCGATGCTCCCTCCCACCCTTTCATTTTCTTCCGACTACCCCTTTTCTGCCTCTGACAAACCAGGCCACTTCGCAAGGAAATGGCGTCAAAGAGGGGTGTGGAAGGTGACCCCGTTGTCAGAAGGAAATGAAAGGGTGGGAGGGAGCATCACAGACCCCTCAGGAGACCCCTTTTCTGCCTCTGACAAGCCAGGCCACTTCGCAAGGAAATGGCATCAAAGAGGGGTGTGGAAGGAAATGGCTTCAAAGAGGGGTGTGGAAGGTGCCCCTGTTGTCGGAAGGAAATGAAAGGTTGGGAGGGAGCATCACAGACCCCTCAGGAAACCCCTTTTCTGCCTCTGACAAGCCAGGCCACTTCACAAGGAAATGGCTTCAAAGAGGGGTGTGGAAGGTGCAGCATCTGCTGGGGGAGGGAACAAGCCTGGTGGAAGACAACTGAGGAGCTCAAGGGCACACTCAGAGATCTGCGCAGGATTGAAGATTACCGAGACCAGGTCACTAATTGCACCAATCCCAGCTGAGTGGATCAGCACCCTAAGATCTCAGAAGGGACCCTAGATCTCCAGGCTCATGGTCGATAAGAGACCTCAATGGCAGGACAACGCCGGGACACCGGCGGGACAACGGTGGGACATCGTCTACCGCACAAAATCGTTGCAGGCAACTTTCGCTCTTCGGAACCAAGTAGGAAGTTTCCTTGTCAGAACAGAATCGTTGCAGTGCGTGACCTGTTCTCCCTCTGCGCGATGATTGGTGGGAAGTGCAAGTGGAAGTATCACAGCGCACTCACGGAGGTTTACAGCAAGTCTCCCATTATTGCACTGTAATGGAAGGGACACTATGCAGTGACTGGAGGGCGACTGGAGGGCGGATAGCCAGCGCACTACGCAGCGACTGTTCGGCCGCCTCGTCTCGACTCCTCGGTACCGAGTACAAACCAAAGGTGGTGTGCATGCACTCTGCTACAGAGCTTCCACACTGCATATCAACATCTGGAATACTTGGAGGCAAAAGTGGTCTGAGTCCAGTTGGCCCTCTTTCAACTACCTCCTGGACCAATTTCTTTACATCCCTAATCCTGGGAACACCGGAGATCAAAATCAGTGGCCTCCAGATGAACATCTGGAATCCTTGGAGGAAAAAGGTGTCTGTGTCCGGTAGCAGCTCTTTCACCACCTCCTGGGCCAACTTCTTTGCATCGCGTACCCTGGGGACGCTGGAGCTCAAAATCAGTGGCCTCCAATGGCTACATCCACACTGAAGTGTCCCTACAACGTTGCCTCATGTTGTTTAGAGAAAGGTATGAATGTGAACCCGAACTGCGATGTGTGCCAAGTCATCTGTGGTGGGAATGCGTGGCGGCCAGGGTTTTGGGGGATTGGGTCAGCGGAGTTTGGTTGACGGCGTATGGTCCAGAACTCGTTTGGGCAAAGGACTTTATTATGTTGGGTAGCTCAGGAAAGGACCGCATGATGGCAATTGCCAAAAAGTTCAGACTTTAGGGTTTTGGATATTGTGGATGGCTAGGACAGACAGAAGATTTAAACCACCAGTACTTGGCCCAGCTATCAGCCACGGGCCTTCCCCGTTAATGAGCGGCCTGCTGGGGTCGGCCAAGGGAAGGCCCGGTCGTTCCCACAAGGCTTGGAACACGTTCTGCGGGGTGACACTTCGCATCGTTCGCTATAACAAAAAACATAAAAATAAAAATAGAAAGAAATCGGATCTGGTTTTCAAGACACGCAGGGGGGGGAAGGGGGGGGGAGAGAGAGAGAAACAGAGAGAGAGAGAGGGAAGAGCTCCACTACTCTCATCAAAATGAGAGTGAATCTAGAACATGGAAACATACATGGCCATGATGATTGTCTTTTGTGCATGTCAAGAGTTGTGCACGCGAGACTGCGTGCGTGCGCGCTCGAGAGAGAGAGAGAGAGAGAGAGAGTGTGTCAGCGAAGACACTGGGGCCCAATGGCCATCTCGCCGCTACTTGATGTCTCTCTCTCTCTCTCTCTCTCTCTCTCTCTCTCTCTCTCTCTCTCTCTCTCTCTCTCTCTCTCTCTCTCTCTCTCTCTCTCTCTCTC